CATTATTTTAACAATACAATTTTATAAAAATTCTTTTAAAAATTATAAATAATATTGCACTATCATCACCATTTAATTGACTATATTCAATTTCTATTTATAATTTTACTCAAACGAAAAATATTAAGCCATATATTTTCATTGAATCAATTTTATAATATATATTTTTAATGGAAAATAATTATACATTAAATTTCTTTAAATATATATGTAATATATGTTTATATATATATATATGATTATTGCTACATATTTTATTTATAAAATATTTAAAAATAAATAATGTAAATCAATTTTTGGACTGCAATTTTCAAAAATTGTTGACCTGTAAATTCCTACTAAAGTTTGTTTGTCTGTCTTTCCTTAATCTCCAGAACGGAGTTAAATACATGAAAGTCGAGAACAGATGTGGAAAGTTTAGTGGCAAAAGACCCCGATTAACTGTATAGACACATCCGGTTTTGACGAGAAGTTACGTTATTTCAATTCAAAAGTTTTTACTGAATGGAGTTAGATAGATGACAGGCATTACTGTATTGTTAACAGGAAAAGTATGATATACAGGGACAAAACACTACTAAAATTGAGAGCATTGTGACGAAAGATTTCATCTATGCATTGATGATATCACAATAAATAATTGTTCGTTATAAATATGTTTGATACTATAAATTTAATATTCATAAATATTTTTTCTGGAATATTAAATTGTAATTAAATTTAAATACATTTAAATTAAACTGTTATATCTATTTTTAAATTATAATAATTAAATAATACATACAACAAAAACATTCTTTCTTTTATATATAACTTATTAAAAAATTTAATTTATAAATATTAATTAATAAAGCATAAAAGATAAACATATTTAATTACTTATTGTATCATCCGATTATAAATCTGGTCACGAAATAATCGTTTATTTTATTTATTTTTCCATTTTTAACACCAATATGCGATTTACTTTTAGTAGCAACAAGGATAAAAATATACTGTGATTCATTTATTAAAAAAAAAAATAATAATAAATAAATTCTTTCTCATCGAATCTCTTAAAATACTAAAAGATATATTGTATCAATCGAGATAAGCTGTTGCCTATGAAATTATTTTTCAAGAAAAGATATTTCAACATCTTTTCTCAATTGTGCTGAATGTTTCAAATATTTGAAATTTATGCTTCCAAGCCTATTTATATCTGTTCAATCTTTTATTTTTTTCCTCCTTTAATTTCATTCTTTATCCCATTCAATTTCCTAACACAGCATACGCCGAATTTTTCATTTTTATGTAGTCTATTTTTCTGTTGGAGAGATCTTTTATTATACTGTTTACAAAACTACTACTATACACATTCAGAGTATATATTTAAAAATACTTATATTTCATTTTAATATTTAAATTTCATTGTTCAATTTTGCCTTTTTTCTTGAATACAATTTTTTTTCTAGTTCTTTAATCCGTGGTTTGAGAGGTGTTTAATTTCTTTCCTTTCTCAAATGTTTATTAATATACATATCAATATTTAACGAAATTATATAGGGGAGACCGGGGCAAGATCGGCATGTTAAGCTTTACTTAAATTTTGTGTAATAAATACTGCTGTAAACTGAAAAAAAAGCTTTGCATATTGTCTATTGGAATGTTACCTTACTATAGAACTGGTTAAAATCAGTTTGGAAATAAAAATAATTAAAATAATTACAACTTTACAAGAAGAGAGAAATTGACGAAGTTGCCCCGGGTATAGGGGCAAGATCGGCAACTTCTCTCTTTTTGTAAAGTTGTAATTATTTTAATTATTTTTATTAAAGTTGCCCCTGGTATAGGGGCAACAGTAATGGGGCAAGATAGGCACGTATATAAAATTATGTTATTAACAATGTATAAGTTGGAATTCACTATTAAAACAAAGAAATACAAATCCAACACCCATTTAATATTATTACAACGAAATGCAAGTTCAAAGACATATATACATGAATAACAAATGCAAACATGTTTTCATTTATCATCTGTTTGATTTTTATCCTTTGCTTCTAATGTGGCTTTATGTTGCCGATCTTACCCCGCTAGTCATGATTTCGAAACATTAAGTACAACCCTGAGAACAGAATGCCAAGCCACGATCTGGCCACGTGAATAAGTTGAAGTTACATCCTTCTAACAGGAAAAGTAACTTTCGTTATCATGGAATTATAACAAAACCTGCCAATTCAATATAAATGGAAAAAAAATATTATATGGAATTGAACGAAAATGAAAATTTGCTTGATAATTCAACTACGCTTGTTGGAGAACAATAAAAACACTACACTCAACAAGCCACCAATAAAACTCAACTGCCTAACCTATAACCAAAGTCTCCTTTTAATTTGTTTTTTAAAAAAAGCGCTTGACAAACTTGCCCCGTATGCCGAAGTTGCCCCGGTCTCCCCTATATATATAAAAATAATATAATTTTAATTTATAAATAGATTTTTTTTAATAAATGATTTAAAATGTTAATAACTTTTTCTCGTTGATTTTTAAATATCATTAGAAATACATTTATTCACTAATGATTTTATAATTCATTTCTATCTCTGTGATAAGTATACTTTTACGGATGATTCTGTCGTGTAAAGTCATCAAAAAGTTTTAGAGATAATTTTCTAGAAAGTTACCGACATCAATCCATGTCTTTTTTGAATTTCATGGGATACATCGTACATGAATTAGGCGGGGATACCATCTAATTGGTCCAAATGACATTATTTGATGTAATTTGGATAAGAAGAAAAAAAATTTGCCAATATTTTTCTTCTATAAAATATAAGTTCAATGAATTAAATAAAAAATTTATATATTGATATTTAAATGTTTTTATATAGTAAAAATTTTTATTACTATTCCATCGAATTAACTTTTACATTATTTTAACAATACAATTATGATTGGGATACACTTTTCAAATTGCAGACCTGTAAATTCTCACTGGCATCAGTCTGTTTGTCTGTCTCTCTTTCCTTAATCTTGAATACTGAGTTGAATAGATGAAAGTCTAGACAATATATACGGAAAACTTAAGTGTAGGAGGATATAATTAATTATATATAAACTTCCAGTTCCAGATAGGAAGTAACATGATTTCAACTCATAAATTTTCTCTAGAATACAGTTAGATAATTGACAGGCATGGCTCTTTTGTTAGCAGGAAAAGTATGATGTACAGGGGCAAGACACTACTAAAATCGAGAGCATATATTTTAAATTAAATAAATTAAAAATTGCAGCCCGACATTGTGACGATGTCACAATAAACAATTGCTCGTTACAATTATGATTTTTATTTTTAAAAAAAATGTTTATTTATTTATTAATTATTTTAACTTTCAGCTCAATCTTGTGAACAGAAAATAAGCAGCGATACAACAAAAAATGGAACATTTACGAGTCCAAATTATCCCGAACCATATTCTGCTCATATTCAGTGTACTTATTCTTTTACTGGAAGAGGAAAAGAAAGAGTTCAAATTCTTTTCACAGATTTTGATCTTTATAAACCCGAAGAAACTGGAAAAGAGTAAGTAAATTTAATTTAAAAAAATCTAATCATAGATACATTAAAAGTTTGAATTTTACTGTAACATTTTATCAATTTATTATTACTAATATATGAAATGAGAATAATTTATATCAATTTGCGACCATATTAACCCTATTTAGCCATATCTAGATTGGTTTAATTAGTGTAATTAAATGAAGAGATGCTATTGTATTGATTTTTATATTAATTTTATCAATGATTAATTAATTACGACTAAATTACAGCGTACAATAGCATGTATTAATAATTTTTGAAATGTAATTATGTAAGAATAAGATTAAATGTATAGAGATGATTGATATTACTTAATGATTTTTATCATAAAATATTTTAATTTGTTGAATAAATGTAAAATTACTCGATTAAATATTCTTTACAAATACTCGAGTTGTCCTCCAGTTATATTAAGAAAAATACTTTCTTGATTTAAATACTTCGAAAATGATTTAACTTAAGAGTTAATTTAATATCGTAAATTAAATATTAAACAAGTTCAATAAGTATTTCATTTGAAATAAATATAATATCAAGGTTTATAAATATAATAACACTCTTAAGTAATTAGCTAAATAATGAATATAATAAGTGCAGAAGTACAGTAATTTTTGTTATCTACGAATGAAGAGTTGTTCTATTATTCTATTTATTTTCATACATTTAGCATACATTAAAATTTAATCGTTTTCGTGCGAAGAGTTTTGCATAGATCTTAGAAATTCTCAAGACCTGTATGTACTCGAGTCTATATGTAAAACAATCGAAAATAAGCACACATACACAGATAACCCCCAACTTTCGGACTAATAAGTTTGTAAAAATGTGTACAAATGTTAAATAACGTACGATTGTTAATTTGTATGAAGAGAAAAAGAAAATTTAAGGTTTCCGTTATATTCAGGTTCCATTTTCGACAGGTTTTACTGTTTATAAGATTGACATTCCGCTTTGCATGACAATTACATTAACTATAAAGAATTTAAATTTATAAAATATTTACATTATTTCTTAGATTAAACATAAAGATTATGTAAAGATTAAGCTACGTTTTTGTTTATTAATGCAAAATAATACTCAGAAAATGGAAAATTTCATACATCTTCCGATTAAAAAAATTTAAAAAAAAAAAACATTACATTTTTATAATTTTGAAATATATTAAGATATTCTATTGATTACATATTTGTATTTTATCATATTTTAATCTTGTTATCATATAACAAGACATTAAAAATTTAAATCCATACGAAAAATCCATTCTATTCAAAGAAGAGACGAAGCAATGCATCATTCTATAGGCTATAGTAGTTTGCATTTCTCATCTTTCAGTCTATAAAAGGACCATCAAAATATATTTGCAAAGCAGATTTCAATCAGATTTCTCATATGCCTTACAAAAAAAAAGAAAAATCTCATCTTAGAACATATTCATTCTAATTCCTTTATATGAAATATAATTAGAATATTTTTGTGTCACGAAATATTTCAATTTAATTTAATTTAATTTATTTATTTATTTTTCATTACTTATCGAAAATAACAATAATATATATATATATATATATATATATTCATGCTTTGAATAGACAAATATTTCTAACTTTGTTTTGTTTACTAATTTAAAACTTTAGCCATTTCATTAGAGAGATAGATATGCGAGAAAAGCGGAATTTCAGAACTTGTAAATTAATTTCTGTTCGATTCGAAAAATAAAAGTCTGCATTCATCTGCTAGACGACATCACTTAATTTGGAAGCAAAATCTTTCAGCACAAAGATTTCCCAAAAGAATGAATTGATCGGAGCTGCTTGATTTAATTCCTACTATTTCAGCCTTCGGGTAAAGTAACAATCTTAAGCCCTTCTGAATTGGGTTGTTCGATTGGTTTTCTCCTTTCATAAGTTCTCTTGATTGAAATGTTGTAATTCTTTTTAACTAAAGAAGTTTATTCTGAACTCAATTTTATTCCTCTAAACAGTTTTATTATTCAAGGTGCCAACTAAAACTTGATGTTGATCAATGGCAATTGTTCCTCACCATCGAGTATCGTTTCTTTAAATGGTTATTTAGATACTACATGCGTGATGTGAGAACAAATTTCATATTTAAACTGTAATAAATTTCGGAATATAAATTCAATGTATTTTTTTATTAATAAGTAAAAAGTTTTGACATATTTATTTACATTAAAAAAATAGAAAATTTTCAATTATAAATTAATTTTTTAGTTTTTTTTTAATAAAGAATTTTAATATTTTCTTCTGGGATTTATCAGAAAATTTACCAGTTTAAATTTTATTAATTAAATACGATATTGTTTATGACGTACTCTCAGATAAAACAATTTACTTGCTCTTAATTAAT